TTCATTTCCTCTCAGCACTAAAGGGGTGCAGCTAACTTGGGCACTGGGTGGGGGGGCGGATAGTTTCATTTACCCCCTCCCGCCCGCTGCCAGCCAGTGTGGTTAATGCTTGTTGTATCCTAATCAGAAATTTCCAGAATGTTGTTGATTTGTCAGATTGGTGGCTGTAAGGCGGGAGTTCCGTGACATGTAGACAAGTTACGTCTGCACAGCTGAGACTTAGCGCACAGTGGTCACAACAGTGGGCTCGAGTGTGACACAGTTGTGAGGACGGCGCAGGCCTGGGCGGTGTTTCACTCTGTTGTACACAGGGTCACTGTGAGTCGGAACCGACTCGAGGACACCTCACAACAACAACAGGTGCTTGGGAGACATGGATGGATGGGACAGAGTGACGGGGTGGGAGCGGTGTGCTTTCTGACACGTTTGACACTAGGTGGAGAACCTTAAAATGAAGCGTCGGAAATGGAAGTGGCAGCGTGTTTTGTTTCCACATCCTCGGCCCTCTGAGAACAGGGTTTCAGCAGTTTGAGTCTTCGTAAGAGAACATTCTGGGGGAAGTCATTGCTAAGTGTAATTAATTTAGTGTAATGCTTTCTGAAAATACAAACTCCTGCTTCAGTTCTTCTGAGTTTCAAATAACAAATGAAAGGGCCTAGTTGAGTATCAGAAATGCCCTTTGTGTTAAAATTTTACTGAGTTTACCATCTCGCCTTGATTAAGTCATTTGAACTCTAATTAGTGGGTTTTGTGAAGAATTTGTTTTTATTTACTCAAGTAAAGCAAATGAGGCAAAACTGGCAGCTAGAATGCATTCACTTTCCAAAACGGTGAGAAAAGTCAGCTGCGAGGGCTGCATGGAAACCACCTGTCTATGAAAATGCACGGAACCAGGTCTTTTTGGCTATACTGGTTTGGTTTGTGCTTTTATACTGGATTGGAGCAGCAAAGGGTAGCAGCCGTCAGCTGTCATGAGCATTGATTTGTTTGCTCCCTAGAGCTTTAGAGCTGAAAGAAATAATGCACTCCACCCTGGAAGTGGAAGTGCAGAGGGGTGAGCTACCCGGCATCGGTGGGCGGGGGTGGCCATCACCATGGGTGGCTGTGGGGAGAACCCCACTGAGGTTTCTTGAAGGAAACTCTGACCCCTCAAAGGTCTTGTGTGCTGGGACACCTTCCTCCCAGTTTCCAAATACAAACAAACCAGGACACCAGAAAGGGAGAGCGAGCACTAGGCAGCGGAGGGAACATTACAACTTCGTGAAGAAGCAGAGGTGGGTGATGGATCCCCAAGAACGTCTCCCTCAGTCAACAATATCAGCACGTGCCAGTCTGTTTCCGTCGATGCCACCACCCCTGACTCACTGGATTATTTCAAAGCAAATCCCAGACACTACATCATTTCATCTGTAACTATTTCTATCCTGTATTTTGAACTAATGGAAACTTAATTCAAATCTAATGTACGAGGGGACTTGAAAACAACCAGTTACTTAGAGTTGTCTGCTTGATGTATTTTTTTCCATCCTTGGAGTTTTTGTTTGTTTGTGTCTTTGAGGTGTGTCTCTTTTAGGCAGCATATAGACAGATCACGTTTTTTTTTTATCCATTCTGCCACTCTCTGTCTCTTTACTGGTGCATTTAGTCCGTTTACATTCAGTGTAATTATTGATAGGTATGACTTTAGTGCTGTCATTTTGGTGTCTTTTTTTGTGTGTTGTTGACAGTTTCTTTGTTCCCCTTAATTTTCTGAGCGGAGTCGTTTTTCTTTATGTATTTTCTTTTCATCTTTTTCATGTTGTTGATTTTGTGTTTGCTGAGTCTTTATTTTTTTCTTGTTTTTTATTTTAATGTGTAGGATTATTAGTTTCCTTTGTGGTTACCTTAATATTTACCTCTGTTTTTCTAAGTTTAAACCAATCTTTTATTTCTTTATATCGCCTTGAATTCCTCTCCATATGAAAGATCTGTGACTGCATTTTTTAGTCCCTCTTTTTTGTTTTAATGGTGTCATCCTTTCCATATTGACATGTATGTTTCCCTCTTTTGTACCCTATCTCCAGTAATTCCAGGAAGTTCTCTTCTTCCAGAAAAGTTCTTGATTCTTTGTTTTGGGAGCTTGCTGAAGCCATCATGGTCTGCCTTTTTATGTGATTTGATATTGACTGTAGTCTCCAAGCCATCAGTAAGTTTAGCTTTGATTTATTTTTGCGACTTCCCTATCTGGGTTGATATCTGATGTTATTGATTTTCTGACTGAAAGACTCCCTTTAATATTTCTTGTAATTTTGGTTTGGTTTTTGCAAATTCCCTAAACTTCTGTTTATCTTGGAAATGCCCTAATTTCGCTGCCATATTTGAGAAACAGTTTTGCTGGATATATAATTCTTGGCTGACATTTTTTTTTTCCTTCAAGGCTTTATATATGTCATCCCATTGCCTTCTTGCCTACATGGTTTCTGCTGAGTAGTCCGAGCTTAGACTTACTGACTCTGCTTTGTAAATGACTTTTTGTTTATCCCTAGCTGCTCTTAAAATTCTCTATTTTTTATTTTGGCAAGTTTGATTATAATACGTCTTGGTAACTTTCTTTTGGATCTGCCTTGTGCGGGGTTCAGTGAGCTTCTTGGAGAGATATCTTCTCATCTTTCACAGTATCGGAAGTTTTCTGCCAACAAATCTTCAACAATTCTCTCTGTATTTTCTGTTATCCCGCCCTGTTCTGGTACTCCAATCACTCGTAGGTATTCCTCTCAATAGAGTCCCACATAATTCTTAGGGTTTCTTCATATTTTTTCTAAATTCTTTTATCTGATTTTTTTCTCAAATAAGTTGGTGTCAAGTGCTTTATCTTCAGTCTTACTAGTTCTGACTTCATTGCCTCAGTTCTGCTCCTATGACTTTCTGTTGAGTTGTCTAATTCTGAAATTTTATTGTTACTCTTCTGGATTTCTGTTTGCTGTCTCTCTGTGGATTCTTGCAGCCTGTTAAATTTGTCATTGTGCTCTTCTGTCATCTTCTTAAGTTCCTCTATTGCTTTGTCTGTGTGTTCCTTGGCTTGTTCTGTGTTTTGCCTGATCTCCTTCCTGATCTTTTGAAGAGTTCTCTATATTAATCTTTTGTACCCTATCTCCAGTAATTCTAGGAAGTTCTCTTCTTCCAGAAAAGTTCTTGATTCTTTGTTTTGGGAGCTTGCTGAAGCCATCATGGTCTGCCTTTTTATGTGATTTGATATTGACTGTAGTCTCCAAGCCATCAGTAAGTTAGTATGTTTATTTTATATGTTTGCTTACTGTGTCCTAGCTTCTTGTTTTGTTTTGATATGCCCAAATAGGCTGGTCATGTGAGCTAGTTTGATTATTGGCGCCTTTGAAGCTATAACATCTTGTCACCAAGTGGTTAGATCTGTTACTAGGTATGTGAGCCCAGGGGTCTGTTTACTTTTCTTGTATGGATTCAGCTCAGGTGTCCAGGTAGTCATTCACCAAGTGCATGGTGCAGGCTCTGACCTATAGTCTGAGATGGACGGGGGTGATTGGGGTAGGCACAGGTATCTGGCTACAGTAGGGGGTCATGCACTGAGCAAGGCAGGGGGCTGACGGCTGCCCCTGAGTGTCTGAGAGGAAAGTGTGTCCCTGTTCCCTAGAGCGCATAGGGGGATGGGTTTTGCAGCCAGACTCTGGGCACCAAGTGCTGTTGTCTGTAAGGACTGGGAGGCACCACTTGGACGTCCGCCGCAGGTGGCTGGGTGGCGTGGGTGGAGCCATCAGTCCTCAGGCCCCTGATGTGGGTAGGTGAGGGCCCTGCCTAATGGGCAGAGCAATGTCAAATGTCACGAACCTACCACTCCACCATATGGCTGATACAGTTAAAGTTAGGCTTCAGGTATATACCCTGTCGTATTGTGCTACTGAGGGCCTACGCTGTTGAAATGGCCCCACACAGGTCTCTGCAGGGGTGAAAGGCATTCAGAGTCCGTGGACCCCTTGTGCCTGTGCCTAGGCCAAGGAGCTGTACCCGTCCTGAGTTCCTGGCCTAGGGGAGCTGGCAGATTATTTTGTCCTGTTTGTTAATTTGTTCCCTCTCCAAGGCCGGGAGAATGGCTCAGGGCACGTGATGGGTCCTACTTCTGCCCCAGGGGACGTGGCAATCACTGAAGCCAGTCTGGGATCCAGTGCAGAGCAGGGAGGAGGCAGGTAAATGGGAGAGCGGTTATTCCCAAATGGGGTGTTTTTTGATCCGTGCGGTGGGTTAGATGCATGTACTTATCTTCTGCTGATTGAGTGCCACTTTTCACTGGTTCTGGAGGCTTGAGCAGACTCTCTGCCGCTTGGTCTCACTCAGTAGAAAACACGTCCCAAACGCCACTGCTTGCCTCACCACGCACGCCGGCCGATCCGGCCTGCAGGTTGCCGATTCCCACTGGGTCAGGTCCGGTAATTCCTCACTGCTTCCAAACCATCTCTCCCTCCCCCTGCCACTCAGTTCAAGCCCTAAACTTTGCCGTTGATGTTTAGGGTGCCTAGATTGTCATATATAATCAATTCACTTGTTTTTTCGGGTCCTTGTTGTAAGAGGGTCCACAGGAAGCATCTGACTACTCCGCCGTCTTGGCCCTGCCTCCTTACAGAGTAGTTCAAGATTAAACTGAAGGGGCTCCCTTTGGAAGACTTGTTCTCCGAATGATTTTCCTAATGTATCCTGAGAAATCAGAAGTTTTCTTGCGTGTCAGAATGGTGTTTGTAAGGTGGGAGTGCCATCTTTTGGAGACAGTGTTGAGGATGACGGGATTGAGATAGCTGTCTGGTCTTCTGCCTTTAGTATGTCGCCTTCCGAGCAGGTTGCTTTCATCATAATCCTCGTTGGGAACCCTGATAATAAACCTTTTATTTATAATTGAAATGTGGGTTTTACAGAAAATTTTGCTTCCGTGAGTCTGAGCCCCTTTCTTCTGTAAGTGGTCTCAGCCCGGAGGCTGACGTGCCCTCTTTCTGTTTCAGATGGGAATGACTGGTAGCACGAGTCCCTTTGGACAACCGTTTAGTCAAACTGGAGGGCAGCAAATGGGCACCACTGGAGTGAACCCCCAGCTGCCCAGCAAGCAGAGCATGGTCAACAGCTTGCCTCCCTTCCCTACAGACATCAAGAATGCTTCCGTCACCAACGTGCCAAACATGGTAAGTCACCCTTGGCCCTCGTGCTGTGGGCCTCTGAAGGGGGCTGGGCGTGTGGATTTTACCATGCTAACTGAAAACGTATAACTAGGAAAGTAATCTGCATTTCTTACGACTGCTGTCTCTAAAGGGTTTTTAAATTTTCAGTGATGAGGTGGAAGTAGGAGGGGTAGTTAGGTGATTCAGCCACTCCTCCCGAAGTTCCCTTTATTGGTGCGTGAGTCACCTTACGTTTCTCTCCAGTTCTCTCCCTTGATTCTGTAGTGGAGCAAGAGAATCAGGAGACTGGCTTGTCTTCACTTCTGCCGCTTTGTTAGTTTTTGAAGGTGTCACAGGAGCCAGTTGCTTTGTGCTACAGTCCAGTAAACGGCATTCATCTTCTGGGGACCATGCTGCCCTTAGGAGACCAGGGTGTTAGTCTGACTTGATAGATGACTCCACGTCTTCAGTCTCCCTGGGGCTTCCCATCACCTGTAAACTAGAAGCTATCCTGCGAGATGTGAAGAGGGAGGTAGCTCCTTTTGCTCCGTAAAACAGTCTCTTTTAATTGAAAACACTAAGGGGAGAGATGCCTCTTTTGTGCCACCCCCGTGTGCATGCCCGCTGCTGATCGGCGAGCATATGTGGGAACCGGTAAAGGCCGTGGACAGCCGGCCGCCTCTTCACTTCTCTGGACTTGCCTCCGGGCACGCGGCCTTCCCAGTGTCATCGCATATTTCTGCAGCAGGTGTTTAGGGAAGACTCAGAAGAGAGCCGGGGGATTACGTTCAGAAAAGATACATCTTTTAAACTTTCTATTCTGAAGTAATCTTAGATTTACAGAAGGGTTGCAGAGACAGCACAGAGAACCCCGCGTATCCTGTGCTCAGCTCCCCCCGATTACGCAGCCTCAGTACAGCTCTCAAAACTAGGGAGTGAACAGTGCTCACGGTGCTTCCGACGACACTCTGAGGCTGTCGGGAAGCACGGAGCGCGGGATCTCTTTGTCCCAGCGCCTAATGAGAACAGGAGACGGTGGGACAGTCGGGGCCTCCATTTCTTCTTCTGACCATCTCCCTGTCGCTTTCCTTCACCTGCTTCTCTTTCTGCTAAGTTTTTGTTTCTGGAGAAGAGAATCTAAGACCCGACAGAACCTGAGACCAAGCCCAGTGCCCCTTGGCCCGGGCCTGGCCCGTCTGGGTTTGGTGGCAGCCCTGACCCATGTAAGGCCGGTGGGCTAGGCCAGGGACCAGGAGCTCTTCCTCGTCTCTCCTGCTGCATTTCCTTTCCCGGTCTGTAGAAAGCCTGTAGTGTGGACCCCGTGCAGGGCTGTCACTTGAGCAGGCTCAGTGACCAGGAACAAAGAAGGACTAAAGAGTAAACGCGCCTGCTTTCTCCCCAGACGTTTGTGATTCAGTCTGAGAAACCTTGATCTAACGTTTTCCTCCCTTGTTTAAAATCTTTGCCAGCCCCTCCTCTGTCATCCTGTATCCTTTACCCACACCCTGGTGATGGAATCCTGTCACCCTGAGCTCCCCTCCCAGCCTTTGCTGCTGCTCCAGAGCTGGGCCACAACTTCTGGGCAAGGTTATTGCTTTTCAGGAGCAGTTCAGACAGGACTGGGAAGAGGTTTCTGGTTCTTTCAGCTGTGCCCGGAGCTGGGACCGTGGGCTCTAGGGTAGGGTGTCTCTCGGCACTGTTGACATTTGGTGCTGAATCATTGTCTGTTATAGGCAGCTGTCCTGAGCACTGTAGGATGTTCAGTAGCATCCCTGGCCTTTACGCACTAGATGGCCAGTAGCAGCCTCCCCACTCCCCCTCCCAAGCTGTGACAACCAAAACTGTCTTCAGACATGGCCAAGTGTCCGTGGGGAACCAGTTGCCCGCGGCTGAGAATCCCTGCTCTGGGGAATAATTAGGGAAGGCAGTAGTAGTTGTATCTCGTCCTTGGGTCTGTCTCCCTGCCATCTGACAGAAATAAAATCAGTCCTTCCTCCTCCCTTCCCCTCCCCTCAGTCTCTCAGCCAGTCTCTCTCTGTCTCGTCAGGATCGTGGGAGGCTGAGGAGGCGTTTCAGTCTATGCGCTCTGGGAGACGCATGGCTTGCATTCTTGCTGCCGGCCGTACCTCTCCAGGGCCTACGTGGGCAGGTGCCTGTGGAGGGCTGGCCTTTCAGACACCCTCTGGCATTCTGAGGGCACACAGGATGGGTTCACACTGTGCCTAGGTCTGTGAGGCTGAATGACCCAGTGACAGCTGTCAGCACTGCTGGGGAGGGACCCCAAAGAGAATTGGCACTTAGGTGTCCCCACCAGCACACACAGCTTGCTGACATCTTTCAAACTGCTGTCACGCCCTGTAATTTACCTTAGTCTTCAGACAGCCTTTTGAGAGACTTTGTTACATACCCATTTTACAGATGAGGAAATTGAGGCTCTGGCTTGTTCAGGACTGTGCAGCTTCCTATCTGCAAAACCCACAGCTCTTTTTAATTATGTGCTTGATGGCATGTTTTGCAGCTCGAATCCACCGGGAATGCGTCAGTGACTGCTGCTCACACAGCTTGTTTGCCGTTCTTTAAACATGTTTTGTGGTCTTCCTTGAATTTTCTAAATTATATCTGCCCTCTTAAAACAGATTTCACATAGCGAGAGAAAGCAGTTACAGAAAATCTCGGTTACTTGCTTTTTTTTTTTTTTCCATGCTTTGGCCTGTAATCTTTTAAAGCCAAACTGGATTTGGTGAACTAAACCACTCTGGTCAGACGTTGATGCAGAGTCACCTGGAACCTGGTTGAGATCACAGAATGATTGCAGCCAGCATGTTCCTTGGCCAAAAAGCCCTTGCTTTCTCCTCTCCTGGCTTCCCGAGGATTCCTGGTGGGCTGGCACTGATCGGGGAGGGGAGCTGTGGCCACTCACCTGATTTATATTTGTCGAGTGCTTTCTGGGTGCCCAGGTGCTGGACCAGCCTCCAGGAGTGCAGATGTGAGTGACATAGAGCAGTTGCTCTTTCATGAAGTTGTGTGGGAGTATTATAAACAAACAATTACAAAATGCACACTGCCCCAGAGGTCCCAATAGCAGGCAGTGGTTAAGGTGAACAGAGGAGCCTCCTTTGATGGAGCAATGGAGAGGACAGCACCAAGGAAGGGCACTTTGAAGGCAAGATTGGGGAGCTGAGAAGCCAGAGACCCTACAGTACTGCAAATGAGTTGGCTGGTTTAGGAACTGGCAGAAGCCCAGCAGGAAAGATGAGGAAGCAGGGAGTGGGGTGAGCGGGTGTTGAGAGGCAGTTCTTTAAACATGTTTTAGGAGCCCCTCGGCTTGCATGCAGGGGAAGAAGGCCGAAGACTTGCAAGGAAGTGATCTGTGGAAACAGGTTGAAGGCGAGTGAACTTGCTGCCGTGGTCCCCACTAGAGGAGGTGGTGGCTGGCGGCCTAGCTTTGGGTGATCACAGTGGGGATGAGAGACCAGACAAGTTCTGCTAGAGTAGACGTGTGGACTGAGCCAGCAACATGGTGGGCAGTGGAATGGTTTCCTGAGCTGGAAGAGACAGACTTCTGGAGAATGGTGATGAAGGAGAGGGATTTTGTGATTCCACTTACATGCATTACTCTTGAGCTGCCTGCAGGGGTTCAGGTGGAGCTGCCAAGAGAGACGGGTGTTCCGGCAGGGCTGCCGCTGCCAGTGGGGGATCCCAGTAAACAGAACCTAGTGAAGTTGTGGACACAAATGGGGTTGCTTCGAGGAGAGCAGTGAGAGATGGTGGGGCTAGAGACCGGCCGAGGAGGAGACCAGCAAAGCAGAATGGCTGTATCCCTGCCGCCGAGAGACGAGAACTTTGAATAGTTGAAGGTGGTGGCTGTGGAGACACTGTTGTCAGAATGTGCACGTGGGGCTGAGGGAAGGGCTTTCTTAGGTTCAAGTTAGATGTAACCTGCGGCTGGGTGCCTCGGGGTCCCCGAGGTCCGTTGTCCCCTACACCATTCCCTGCAATTCTTACCCGTGAGGGTACTGTACAGGGGCACTGAAAGGCCCAGGGCCCTTTTTTTAATATGTGCTGACGTCCCTACAGCCAGCATCCCCACTTTTTGGATGTAAGATATAGAGCTCCCTTATCCTGGAGGGGAAGAACACGGTCAACACTTCTGAAGCTGAAAGAACTGAAGAGAAAATTCAAGTCTCGAGTTACAATACTGAAGGATTCTAGGAGGAAAATAATAAATGACGTAGGAAGCATCAAAAGAAGATGGAAGGAATACACAGGGTCACTGTACCAAAAGGAAATGATCGACGTTCAACCATTTCTGGAGGTAGCATATGATCAAGAACCAATGATACTGAAGGAAGAAGTCCAAGCTGCACTGAAGACACTGGCGAAAAACAAAGCTCCAAGAATTGACAGAATACTAGTTGAGGTGTTTCAACAAACGGATGCAGCGCTGGAGGTGCTTACTTATGTATATCGGGAAATTTGGAAGACAGCTACCTGACCAACTGACTGGAAGAGATCCATATTTGTGCCCATTCCATAGAAAAGTGATACAATGGAATGCGGAAATTATTGAACATTATCATTAATATCACACACAAGTAAAATTTTGCTAAGGATCATTTAAAAGTGGTTGCAGCAGTACATTGACAGGGGACTGCCAGAAATTCAAGCCAGATTCAGAAGAGGGCATGGAATGAGGGATATCATTGCTGATGCCAGGTGGATCTTGGCTGAAAGCAGAGAATACCAAAAAGATATTTACCTGTGTTTTATTGAATATGCAAAGGCATTCAGCGTGTGGATCATGACAAACTATGGATAACACTGCGAAGAATGGGAATTCTAGAACACTTAATTGTGCCCATGAGGAACCTGTACTTAGACCAAGAGGCAGTTGTTCAAACAGAACTAGGGAATACTGCCTGGTTTAAAGTCAGGAAAAGTGTTTCAGGGTTGTATCCTTTCACCATACTCATTCAGTCTGTATACTTAGCAAATAATCCGAGAAACTAGACTATATGAAGAAG